CTTGAGGGCTCTGCTGACTTCCTGTCCTGGACACTTGAGGGCTCTGCTGACTTCCTGTCCTGGACACTTGAGGGCTCTGCTGACTTCCTGTCCTGCTGCCACTGAACTCTGGCCTTTTCTGCTCTACAGTCTCAACCCTACACTTCTCTGTTAATATCTTAATACACCTTACCTATCTATCACAGCTCTCTTCAGGTATTGCCCTGGTCTCTCAGCACCTACTCTGCTGCCCCAGCACATCTGGGCCGGGCTGTGGACAAGGCATTTCCTTAGATGCAGTAAACTTCTCTGTGAGGAGTGGTGTCCTTACTTCACAGGATTATTGTGAAAATTAAACTGATATTAGGTACAGATGCTGCTCTCCTGGTGATGGGATTTTGAGCGGCTAAACCCACTGTACACTGAAACTATCATAAGCAGAGAGTGTGTCTGATACACCTAACCTACAGAGCATCAGTGCTTTTCCCAGTGATCATGGGCATGGCTGGGAGGACTCTGCGTTGCTAGCCCGGGAAGAGATACGGATTCCAAAAAGTAAAAAAAAAATCCTAAGTGCAACCACTTTCACTTAGATGAGGACAGTATGTATTAAAAATCCTTATGAATCAGAAAATGTCATACAAGGTAAGGTATGATAACTCCTCTTACCACTTTGTTTTATGCGCCTGAGAAGGGATTCATCAGATCAGCAACATCATACTAGGGGCCACTTCATGCTTCCCATGCCTGAAACACTTGCCTCCTTCATCTTCACAGGCAGCCACCAGCCAGGCCACTCAGCCATTGCAACCTGCCAGTTTTGTGTCCTTGGGCAGTTCCTTAATAGCTCAGACCCCCATCTCCAAAAGGGGGTTCATGCCAGGACTCCTCACGAGGGCTGCCAGGAGGCATTAACGCATGCAAACCACATAGCAGGCTCATGTGTCGTGATACTACTTTGTTTCTCACATGAGGCTGAACTAGAACTGGACTCGGGTCCAGCCGCTTCTCCCCTCCTGCTGTGCCCCCTCTCATTACAGTCTGTAATCTACGAAGTGCCGGCATACCTGTTTCCGTGTTCCACAGCACAGACCATGTTCCATCCCTCTGCCTCCTCGGGAAGGTGAGGGTGACAGGCATGCAACTGAAATAACAGCATCTGGGGAGTGAGAGGCCCTGGGGCTCTCTTCCTAATCCTTCCCGACTCCACCAGCTGTGACCCTGCTGGCCGCTGTACCAAGCAAGCCAGGGTTTGGTGCAGGGCAGCAGAGGCGGCAGCAGAGAAAACCTGGGAGGAGCAGGAGTACGGGTGGAGCTGGGACCTTCAGTCCACCCATCAGAGGACAGAGGGCTGGATCTCTTCTGGCAGGGGACAAAGGGATTATACAACAGAAACCTGGAACTGCTGAGGGTCTTCTCAACCTGCGCTGGAGAAATGTAGGGTGAGACATGGAGCCAGAGGGGAAGAAACCGAACAGGAAGCTCCAGGTTCGGAGTAGTGAGGGAGCCAGGGTGGGATGCACTCTGAGGCTGAGGAAGTGGCTCACCTCATGCCCAAGTTACAGCGCCCCTGAGCTCTGCTCTAAGCCCCCTTCCTCCTGCTACTGCGTTGGGCTCTGTGAGCCACTTTTCTGCTTTACTGAGGCTCCTGCTGGGCTTTGCTCATTGGCCCTAGAGGGAAGCTGAGATGGGAGGAGGCAGAAGGGCCCACACTCCCTGACCCTCAGCATCCGGACAGTACCACATCTGCATGTCAACAGGTCACTAACCAGCAGCAGCAGCTGGCTCCGTGGTGCAGTTTTGAAGACACCTCTGAAACAGGCTCATCATATCCCTCCCCAGAAATGCCAGCGCGGCTCCTGACACCTCTCCTCCAAGGTGGGTCCTGGCACCAACAGGTCCCTCATCTGAGATCGGAGTCGCCTGCTCTTTCTCCTCTCCAGAGGTCTGGGCCTCAGGGCAGAGACCCTGCCCCGAGCCAGGGTTCAGGTGTATTAATTCCAACCTCTTGCTGGGTTTCCTCTGCCATGGAGGGGGAGCAGCCTTCTGTAGTTGCCACCTCCATGGTTCCTCTGTGTCACCCTTTTGACTCTTGAGTTCTCTCCCTTAAAGGCTGATGTTTCCTTAGATTCAGTTCTCTGTATTGATGCGTGTTCAAGGCGCACACACACGCACGCATGCACGCATGCACACCCGCACACAGGTATGGTTTCTCTCTCTTGCCTGGACCCCAACTGACACCTTAGGAAGGAAGGTAGAAAAAGACCAACCAGGAAGAATTTGTGCCGCTCCAGCTTCTAATCAACTACAGAAATGAGATCCACAAAACCCAACTCACAGCTCAAAGCTAAAGGAGGAAATAAAGAAAGACGGTGTCGATAAACCCTCAGGGAATGACCACGTGGTGGCCAGTGGTACAGACCCTCTGCTGGTTCAGGGAAACTTCAGAGGCACCTGCATCACCTTTCCCTCAGTATCCAACACTTTCTAGGCACTAACCCTGCACTGAGAACCCCGTCCTGCAAAGGACAAGCTGCCGGACCCAGGGGCCTTCGAAGTTCCCACCAAGCCTGTCTCAAGTGAACCTGAAGGTGCGAGAAGACGGGGTGCAGGACTGAGCACCAGGAGGGCGGAGCTTCAGGGTGCTGGAGGGGCGCGGTGCTTACACCTGCCTGCCACGGGGCAGCAATACCCTGCACAGCCTGGCAGGGGCGCGGGCAGTCTGAGTCCAGCCTCCTGCCCTGCTCAGGGCCGTCATTAATGGCGTCAGATGGACAGCGCTGAGAGGGACGCACAGCTCTGCACTGTCACCAGTGGGGGGGTTCCTCCACGGTCTCCCGTCCCCACTGCTCTCTGCTGCCCACTCAGGTCATGAGAGATTTAGCCTGAGCCTGAGTAAAATGGAATCAAACACTTTCCTATAGGCTATTTTTCAATAACTTCCTCCCCAAAAGCCTGAGGATTCAAAATGGTGCATGACGGACGCCTCGCTGTTATCCTCGCTTGATGGGTAATATACAGCCTTTGCTCCTAAGGGAAGTGTGAGACCTGACTCTGACGAGCCGCAGACGATAGCATTTCTCTCCGCAGAGCTTTCCAACGTTCTGAATGTCTTTTATTTCTTCCTTCCTTCCCTCCTTCTCTTTTCTTTTTGTGAGACGGAGACTGAACAGGGAGGGAAAAGGCAGAGAAAGGCCTCCTCATTTCAGCTGGAGGGCTGGATCCGCAGTTTTCTTTAGCCTTCTTTGCTGCATCTGAGTCTTACCTGTTACTTCCTGGTCGCTGAATTAGAAGATGACTACGCTGCTGGTGAGGAGGGGTCCGCATGGAGGTGCACAGAGGCAACCCTTCTGGGAAAACTGGCTCCGAGCTCGCTGCAGGGCCTGGAGCTTCCCTTGAGTTGCTGAGCTTGTCACTCGTTCCCTGGCAGGCGGGTCCTGCCTGCACTGCCTGCCTCACCCTGCCTGTTCTGTGGGCCATTAATGAACCGGAACCACAGCTGTGCTTAGGAAGGCTTTGGTCAGCTCAACGTTTCTTGGGTTGTGACAGAGATGAGAGGCGAAAACAGACAGGAGGAGGGAAAGGGCCTGAGGGACATGTGAGAGCTGAGGAAGAGCCACTGACTGCATAAAGGGGCTGGGCTGTGAGCGGAGCTTGGGGCCAGCATGGTCAGTGGGCCTCGGCTACCTGCACACCTCCGTCTGAGTGTCTCCCACCTGGGCCTGCTGACCCTAGCCAGGGCTGCTGACCGTGCTGTGAATAGGAGCCGTTTCTTTGCCAAGGGGAAGTGACAAAAACACAGGCAGGAAGGACACATGAGTGAGCACCAGACACTGCCCGCTCTGCCCCCACATCCCTGTGGGCTGTTGGACAGGAGTGGCTGAACCGCAGATTCCCTCAGGTGGCGGCCAAGGGCCTTCAGCCCTAGAGAAAAGGCACAAGACACAGCCAACAAACACAGAAGGGTCTGGAAGGGAGGCTCAGTCTGTTTTAGGATTAGCACACTGGTAAATCTTCCACTGTTAGGTCTCACTACTATTTTCAGTGGATTTAAAATATTCCAAGTGATAGTAGAGGTTGGATCTCTTAAAGATTGAGCCAATCAGAACAAAAATGCCACACTGTAAAAGGCTTGAACAGGGACATAACATAGAAACATCTACAAAATGTATTGTCTACAAACACATTAGCATCAGTCAGCCCATATTATTTTTTCTTCATTCATTCATTCATTCATTCATTCACGCATTCAATGAATATCTATTCAACAGTATGTGCAATGAAACATGAAAGGCACATGAGGGACATTAAGATTAGAATTCTTTTCCACAAGAAATTTACAAACTAATAGGAGAAGTAAGCATTGGCTAAAACAAATATGTAAACATTAGTAAAGTCATTTCAGGAATGAAGTACAAACAGTGCTAGGGGATTCAGAGAGCAACATGAGCAGTTGGGATGTTGGCGAAGGCAGGGTCTGTGTGGCTCTGACGACTGCATAACAGTATGTGTGGGAGAGAGGAGAGAGTTTTTAGTGCTAGGGAAAAACTGTATCCAGCAAAGACATTTCATCTGCAAAACCCAGAAATCCGACGTGAGGTTCCTTCAAGCTCCACATGTTATGACACAGATGAGCCACGTTTAGTATGCTGAGCTTAAAACGCAATTTAAACAGCCAAGTGGGCACAGCTGGCGGGAACCAGTGCAGAAGTCAGATCTCATCCCTGTGGCCTCCCAGGCAGTTAGGTACTGTATAGCTACAACGTAAGGTTTCTGGTCATCGGCAGCCAGCTCCTAGATACAAGAAACTGACCATGTAGTCCAGGGCCAGTCAGTTCCAGAGTCTTCCCTTCCTACTGCTGCAAGGCCTTGGGTCTCTCGATGTGACTTTAAGGTGGCCACACGTTAGCTACGGTGTTCATCTTCCCAGGTCCCACAAAGTTAATTTATAATTCCGTGAACAAAGCTGAAAGGACGGAAGGTTTTAATCCAAGCTTTAATGGCACTAACACCACAGAATTCCCTCATTCTTTCCCAAATCGAGGGAAACAACTCTGGGTGTATTGTCACAGTGAATTACTGTATTTGTACATGATCTCTCACATCCATGGTTTTTTTCTAAATATGCAGTTGATATGTAAGACTTAAAGACATTAGAATAAATCTTCACAGCTGATCCTGATGACTGGGTTAGTAATTTCCCACAATTAATCCAAAATTTCCCCATTTTCACTTTGTGCTTATAATGTACAAGGCTATTAGATGTTCAGAGGTAGAGATTAAGAAATTTTAATGAATACAATAAGACCTTAAAACTCAGTGAAACAGAAAGGTCATCCTAGACATGCTCGGAACATAAAATATGACCGACTGTATGTAAACACAGAATCTCACAGAATGATTGCTACATAAATGGTGTTTAGGGGTAAAGGATGAATGTGAAGTGTGTTAGTCCCATCTCTTGTAAGCAGATTAGAGGCTGGGAATACTTTTCTTGGGGGTGGAGACAGATCTGAATGAATATTCGCACCCTTCCCCGTCAATGGCACCAATCTCTATGCTGGACGACACCAGGGTTCATGGGACCCCACGAACTACAGAGCATGCACTGGGCAGGGAGTTCTCATCCAGGCTGTCTGGAAGCCTGCACACCCAACTACTGCACCCACATCTGTGGGAAAGGTCTCTTCTAATAGTCCCTCGGGGAATCCCCATACTGGGAACCACTGAGAACCACCCTCAAGCTGATGCAGCATGTCTGTGTCACTCTGTAACAGGCCGCTGGTGCCGCATGCACCCTTCTACACTAACACTGCTGCTGCAAGGTCCAGTCTGGGAGTCCTGATGACATTAGACATGTGGGCTGTCACTTACTGTGTCCTTACTGTGCCAGTAGCTGAGCTGAGCTTTTGCCCATGTGAAGGTGATCTGCAAAACAAACTTAGGGTAAGTGCTGCTGCTTTCCCAGTTTACCAAGGAGAAACAGCAGCCCGAGGAAGGTAAGTGACCTGCCCTGAGCCACACAGCTCCCCAGGTTGGAACTGGGATGCGAACACTGCCTGCTTGGCTTCAGAGTCTGGGCTTCTAATTGCTAAGCTTCAACAGCTCATTTATGTGTATGGAATATTCAATTTTTCAAATGTGTTCTGCATCTGTGCACAAAAAGCTATTTGGTACATATTTATCATAAAATGGAGAAAAATAAAAATCTGCTCAGAAGTGATTTGTCAGAAGGGTATATATTCAGCATATATTTTCATAAAACATTTCGCTGGTTGTGAGTGTCCAATCTCAGCATCCAGACTCACCTGGATCCCACTGCATTCCTAGACACAGCATGAGCCCTCGCACTTCAGCTAATACTTAAGGTGTCACCACAAGGTGACTGCTGTAGACCAGCACATCCGCAGAGGTGACCGCAGTCAGCCTACAAATTCAGCTGGCTCTGAAAAGCCCGACCCTGCTGGGCAAAGCGACAGGAGTTTTGCTGTTTTCAAAATAAAAGCTGACTCTTATTGAGAAAACATTGTCAAAGACAAATTAGTTTTCTGAGTTTGGCCCTCTGCTAAATACGTACTGTGCTCCTGCCATATGAATACTAATCCTGCAACTAATAGGAGTTAAGACTCACGGAGCTCTTACTATGTGCCCAACGCTGCCCAAGTGCCTTCCCCTAATCCTCACGCCAGCTCCTCAGTACAGGTGCAGGCACAGAGGGTCAGGAAACCTGCAGGATTACGGTCGGCAGTGGCACAGCTGGGCAGGCACTGGCCAGCTTGGCTCCCATTCCTGGGTCTTTACCTCCCTTAATGGGTTTCCGTCCTGCTAGACTCATCAGAAGTTGGGAACACTGTGAGTTGAAAGTGCACTTACTACACCAGCCCACATGGCATCACAGAGTATGGCCTTGCCTATCTGCAGCGTGTTCACAACGCTTACATTAGCCCACAGGGGCCCAAATCCACCTGCGATAAACCCCGTTTACCCTGTTTAGAATACAGTGTTGAATATTACACAAACACACACACACACACACACAGGTGTTTGGCACACAGGCTGGGTTATAAAAACAAAATACAATCCAAGAAATGTTGCACAGTCTGCTGTACAGTACATGGTTTCCCCATGACCAAGAAGCTCACCCCATGGCTTAGCATCAGGAGGTAGCATTGTATTGCATATTGATAGCCTGGAAACTGATCTAGCTCAGTGCTACAGCACTTGCTTAGCATGTGCAAAGCTCTGAAAAAAATTAAACACACATGCACACATGTGTGTATACACCACACTCTCTAAGTACTGTTTCCACTGAATGCATATTGCTATTGCATCACAGTAAAGTCCGAAGACCACAGATTAGGAACAGTTTCAGGCACAGCAATTAGATAAATTAGAGCCTCCAAGAGGCTGAGAAACAGCCTTCCCTACAGAGACTGAACAGTGAGCATGAGTTTTTCTGTGTAAGTCTGAAGGAGCAGCACAGTAAACACTAGCCTAAAAATGTCATGAGATACTCACAAGAAAGGTTTCGTCTGATACAATATTAATTCTGGGAAGGCATTTCCTGCAGAGCTGGTCCCTGTGCTGATGGTACGAACTCAGTCCGAGCCATCACTCCATGACCTCTGAGGACCACGAAGGTTGCCCAGGGATTACAGTATTACAGCTGCCCCCCACAAGGAATTACCTGTAAAAGGACCCAGCTAGCAAAGAAGTACGTGGTGATTGCTGGGCAGGAAGTTCTCAGAGGAAAGACTCCTGTGATGAGAGGAGAGATCCAGTAGGTAGGAGCAGTAGAAAGCATTAGTTCAACAGAAGATATGAGTTATCTAACTTCTCAGCTAGGGGAAAGGGTAGACATCACAGCGATGTCAAAAAGTGGGCAAGGCAGCAGGGGAGGGAGAAGGTAGTGCCACACTATCATCAGCAGATGTGCCTGTAACTTGCTTATAATGCCAAGTTGCAAAACTAACGACGGCTCATGGGCCAGTGTGCAGTTTTGTGTTTTAACATGAATGACCACTTACACTTAAAAACCAGGAAATTTAACATAATCTGGATTTCTAACTTGTCTTTTGGAAGTAGAAGATGGGGTAGCACCAGGCTTGGACCTGCAGGTGTACAGTAGTGCTCCATTTAAAGAAGCAGGTAACACCCCACTGGCCATGGCCCTGTGGCATCCCCATGCCCTTTACACTGGGCTCCGCACTCCTTCACATCCACTCCCTGGCCCATGCACATAGATTGGCAGCCCTGGGCTCAGGTCCTGGGACACTGGGGAATGAGGCTGCTCGGGGAAGAATCCAGGGACTGTGCCTCACAGTAAGGGGAAAGCCCACCCTGCAGAGGGTCACTGTCCTCTTCATCAGGGAGTAGAAGGCCAATGTCAACCACTGTCCTCACGTACTTCTAGCCTGCCCTCTTGTCCCTTCCCACCCCCCCAAATCACAGTTTTACATGTCACCTCACAATTTCTACGCAGTACATCATTTAACAACACGCCCATTTGACAATGCTATGAGATAAATATCATCCTCCTCTTTTTATAAATGAGAATACTGAGGTTTAGGGAGTGAAGTCATGAGCTCAAGGTCATACCACCGACTAGTCCACACCCAGACCCAATGAACTGGGGGCAGCATGGAACATTTAAAATACTAGACAGCCTTTTGAAAAGAGGTTTTCACAGTCAAATAAGTCCGGAAAACATTAGTTTAGGCTTTTTAGGGTAAGTTTCTCAAAATCTTTAAAATACTAAGGAGCTTTACGAATCTCCCAGTAAATGCAGCCACATCCCCAGATTCAGCCAATAAATCTTCTGCATGGAATATATTATTGTGGAAAGGATGAGATTCAGTGCAACGAGAAAGAATGTTTCTAATTATGGGTGAGTAATACAGATTTTCTAAAACAAATCAAATGGTTGTAAATCGTATTTCATTTATAAAAATCTACTACCTCATGATCCCACCTTCTCCTCACTAACCTTAAAGGTCTTCAATTAAAACAAATCTTGTGTTATGATTCTCTTAATCTGAAATTGTATTAACTGTAGTTCTAGTACTTTTACAATAGCAAGACAATACAAATAACCCTACAGATATATAACATTTTGATGTTGACTGTTTTACATATTCCTCAATACAATCTCTGTGGAGAATCATCACTGTGTACCCATTTTCCAAATGAAGAAAATGAGGTCCAAAAAGTTAAAAGAATTTATAAAGGTAAAAACAAATTTCCAAGTAATACATGGCACATTAATCCATTCTTGCCTCTGAAACACATTCTGAAGTGTGGCCAGACATTGATATACTGATTATATATCAGTTACATATATTTTAGTAGTAAAAGCATTTTCTTTTGTATTCATTAATCATTTGAAGATTATTCATGTGGTTAAATCACATAGGTACCAATTAGACGCACATTTTGAGTAATCCCATTTCTTAATCACGGTAGTTTATAGCAAATACATTAAAACAAGGCTTCTACACAATGTAGCTTACATATATTGGAATTAATAGGACTTTATTGAAGAGCCAATCCTAACAACCAGTAATCATTAAAACAGAAAATAGAGCTAACAAGTCATTAAAGAAGAATTCACACTGTTCCCCAAACTCTTCCAAAATAATTGAAGAGGAAGGAATATTTTCACAATCACGTTAAAAGGCCAGCATTACCTGCACACCAAAGATATATATGGATGATCATTATCAAAAACAGAAGAGATGATAAGCGCTGGTGATGGTGTAGAGAAAGGGAAGCCTTGTTCACTGCTGGAAGACCTGTAAGCTGGCATGAACATTGTGGAAAACAGAATGCAGGCTCCTCAAAAGTTTGTAAAAAGAACTACCTATGATCCACAGTATCCAGGGTACAAAAACAACTTAAATATCATCAGTGGATGAAAGACTGAAGGGAAGCTGTGTGTGTATGCAAATAATATGGAATTTATATAATATGGAATATTCTTTAGCCACAAAAGAGGGAAATCCAGATCCTACTAGTTGTGGTTAATAGGAATGAAACTGAATAAAATTATGCAAAGTGAAATAAGCCAGATACAGAAGGGCAAATATTGTGAGATCTTCCTCATAGGTGGAACCTGAAGATAGCTGCACTCATAAAACAGAGAGTAGAAAGGTAGTTGCCAGGGTATGAATGAGGTGAAGAGGAATTAGGAAAGATGTTGGCCAAAGGGTACAAACTTTCAGTTATAAGATGAATCAAGTTTTGGGGATCTAATGTGTAGCATGGTGAACATTAGTAATAACACTTCATTGTTTACCTGAAATTTGATTTTTTAAAAAGCAGACTCTAAGGGTGCTCATTGCTCTCTGTCAAAATGGTAAACTTGAGTGGTGGTGGAAGTGTTAATTAATTGGGTTGTGGTAATCATTATGCAAAGCATACATGTATCAAATTACTACATTCTGTACCTTTAATACATATGTTCTAATTTCAATTGCATATTTTTTAATCAAATTAAAATAATATAAAACAGAAATATGGAAGGTTTTAAGTTTTAGTCTATGAAAAGTAAATATTTATTTGCCTCACACAATTCTGCTTTCTTTTTGAAATCAGTTGTTCCGAAACATTGCTAGCACTGCGTTTTAGAATGAAAAAGAATATAGGAAGGAGGATATTACAGTAATAAAAATAAAGCATTTTTCTTCCCTGTGCTGCTCTTGTCAGTTTTCACACAACCTAATTCTCATTCTGGTCAGAGAGGAAGGAACTGAGAATCAGGGTTTTATCGACACCATCGCTACCTCCCCACTCTCAGGCACACGCACAAACACAGCACTCTGGTTTCTAATCACGCATCTCACAGATGAGCTTGCCTGGCTGCTCTCCGTGCACATGATGTATAAAGTAGCTTTGGTTTTCAGAGATTTACATCAAAGACCTCTTCATTAAATGCTATGTGAGGACAGATGTATATCCACGGAAGGTTGAAAAAAGAAAAGAAAATGATGATAAAATAACCATCAAGGAAGTATACCAGTGACGGGCCCTAACATGGTCTTCCTCCAGAGGATATGTCTAAAATACACACACGCACGCACGCATGCACCCAACGTACATGAACAGACACACATGGGAGGGAGGGAAAGGAGAGGGGGGAAGGGAGGAGTCAGGGGAGGAAGGGCTTATTGCAGAAAGGCCTTTAAAACCACCCTAAGTACGTGAAATTCCTATTCAAGTTACCATCATTTGGAAAATGGGTGGCTAAGGTTTGTTGAAAAGTCAAACCAAGAGGTTTGCTTGTTGGCTTGTT